CCATTCACATCCTACAAAAAGATGGCATGTGACTGTTCCACTGCATGAACATCTATAACAGCAACATTTAGAGAGGTTTTGGTCACAGCTATGAGCTGGGACCCTTCTCTGAATAAYRGASAGCAAAGGGAAAAGCTAGAAACAGRAGGCTTAATTGTTAGCACATRTTTTAAAATATAACTAACTACATCTTTCTTTTAACTAAGTAGATCTTTTTTCAGCCTGTGCTTAATTGCAGGCAACTACCAGCATGCCACAAGGAATATGGYAGCAAAAAGGAACTCTGTTTCCATGTAGTCTCCTTTACTGCCTAGCTCCACTGGGTCCACTTACCTAATGGAAATGAAGATGGAAATAGAGGAACTTCAACCAAGTTTAAAAGGCAGTACAGCTTTGCATGACTCACTTCTGGGTTTGTTATCAGATGCTGTGCAACTCTCTGAAGACAGAGGGCAGCYGATGAGAGCATGTTTTCTTCCTGCTTTCCCTTCTTTTCACCCCACTAAACAACTGGAAGCTTTAAGTTTGGAACTGCTACTTAAATCAACTATACAATAGCACAGTTTGGCTGAGCTCCTGTCAGACAGGACACTGACATTGTTCAAGATGGACCTGTTTACAGAAGACAAGTCAATGTACCTGAGATACACCTTAGCACTGAGCAGCTTAAGCCCATGAAGCCCTTGCTCATTCTACTATATCCTACTCAAAACTTACAAAAAACAGCATCATTTTCAGCATAATTTCCATGTGTTAAAAAYAGCTGCCCAAAGGCAGTTACTACATTTGGTATATGCAATCCCAGTGACTGTATCCCAGAGAAACTACTCTGAGGAGTTACTAATGAGCTTTTCAGCTCCATGGTGGCCTACATTGAGCATGTATTTTGTCTTWATTTCTAGTTTCAAAGACCAACTTCTGCTTGTTAGATAAAACTGCTAATAAAGATGGAACATTTTAAACAAAAACAAAATAACTATTTGAAACCATCTTTCCTAAAAAAACAAAAGCTAATTTTATATCATGTCGACATGTTTTAGCCTTGCTCACTCAAAGATGACTTTATAACTATGTCAGACTACAGACATAGTTATCTGTATATAACTACTATCTATATATCTGTAATATAACTGTTTCAGACCACAGACAAACACTACCAACATTTTTATTCTTAAATAATATCCCTTCAGTGATGAGAAATGCACTCTTCTTTCATTGAATAGTTATATTACAGATGGCAAACCTTAAATGCCAAACCTGTCACTTGAAGCATACTCCTACCCTATGAGAGATTAATACCCAGAAGTATTATTCAAACCAAATTCTGGGAGATGAGACACTTAACAATATCCAGCAGCTGCCTGGAGCTAGTCYTTTCACCCATCCCAGCACTTAAATTGTACCAATATCAGATTTTGTTGYTCCTTTTGTTGTTAAAAACCACTGTTTTCTAAACTAAAACACAAGCAAAATGTTTTCAATCTGCACTAATTGGCTGGCTAAATACCCCAAAAACATGCCACACCATTAGCTGAAGGAACTGTTAAGCCATAGAGACAGCAGTTCTGATTCGAGTGATAAAAACTATAGGAAGCAAAAATTTCAAAGGGGCAGATTTTCACTAGTTCTTAGAGCMCTTTTTGTCTGCAGGCAGAATCTGGGAGGATTTCAGGCACTCAAACTTAGGGGCACAAGCCAGTTGCTCTTTGAGTGTCAGAACAGCACAAAAAGTGGTTATAGAATACATTATGTTAATTTTTTTGTTTAGAAATTGGAGTAAAATTTTAATATACAGCATTGTAATATATAGCATTTTAAATGCTATATTTTAATATATGGCATTTTAAAACCTTTCTTTAGTGCTATCCATCCAAATCACTTAATACTAAAAGTCTATTTTTTCAAAGCTTTAAGAAAAGAAAGGCTAGAAAACCAAGAGAATACTAWATATAAAACTATTCCCATTAGTGCTACAAACGTGCTGAGAACTTGCTTAGTGAGACATGTCCAGAACATGACCTCAAACGAATTTGGGCCTTCCTGAGTGCTGTGTGAAAGGTGAAACATGTCATTGTATACCAGGAATATAGTATTTAGAAAAATCTTTAAATCATCTCTTTTCAGGAAATCTGACAAGAGACAAAAATCTCGAAAATTGAGCTTTTCAGCTGAGGTATGAATTTTTGTTTGATAGCCCTTTTAAAGCAAATGCTTGGAAGAATATTTGTCACTTCCTTTGGGACAAACAACTTAGAAGCAGCACCATGTKTGCCCAAGGGTCTTGTTCCTGTCCCAGAACATGAAGGTTCAGTGCTGCAGAGGTACTTAGAACTTGTGTAACAAGGAGCTGCCTAAACATTTAACCTTTCCCTCTTGCTTATAAACCCATGTAATTCAGCATCTGAACAGACAAGAACTAATTTAATCCATCACACAAAAAAATTTATACTGTTCACACAGTGTCATTCCCAATTAATTTTTAATCAACATAATTTGAGACAAGAAGGCACTTTTCATTAAGGTCTACTCACAAGCTTTGTAAGTTTAAGCTATTCACTTTTGAGGAAAAAAACTACATCACTTTTTCCCACAAAAGCAGTTTTGAAACAGAGATCAACCACAAAAGTTCTCACTGTGCAGTTTTTCATGAGTTAGGGGATGATCTAGAACCACTACTTTTTCCATTTCAGCTATCAGTGGCTTTGCCACAACTGGCAGCACAGTACCACCACAACTGGGATTCAGATCCCACAATCACCAGGATTTGCTTCCTTTTGGAGAAGTTTAAATAAAGCCAGTACAAGGTGTTCTTCATATTCACATTTATTGTGAAAACATTAGGAAACCACATGTGCAGGTTGTGAATTTTTACTACACACAAATATCTTACCATGAGAAACTCTTCAAAACATGGGATTTAAGTTATTAGATGCAAATCTTTATGGTGTGGACACCTTAGTACTCTCTTTACAGCCAATGGACAGAAGAAGGAAGACAGCAACTCATTTCCTCCTCATTCTGTCTAATGAATCACAACTCAAATTATGCCCATCTCYCTCTTCTAAGAGGAATTCACTCATATAAATTAGTTTTGGAAAGAGYTCATGGGCCAGTTATTCAAGCCTGACTCCTGGAGGAGGTGGCAAACAGAACTGCTTGATAGGAGCAAGACAACAACTGACAAAAAGTGATTAGAGATTACTTCAAAACAAACACCATCATCAGGTTTTTCAGCTAGATATCAAAGGTAAGCAGCAGTACAGAAAAAACACCTGTAAAAAAACAGAGTTAATGGGAGATGAAATAGAAAGGATTCTAATCTACACAGAGGACTCTGCCTTAGTTCCTGAAGAACTTTCCCAGGCACRATGAAATCAGACAAAAATGACACCTAGGTACAATCACAAACTAGAGCTTTTAACTTCTGCTGGAACTAGACAATGCAATGTAAACCCCTTCATACTWTATGCAGGATCCACTGAAATACAATCAGCAGTAGGCCTGGTTCTAAGGCCTGGAAAACAATATTCCTTTTGGGACAATACAAATAAGGAGGATGTCTCAGACAGAGCTTAACACAAACTAAACCCAACAGCATATGCCTAGGCACTATGGGAGACTAAGTCTGGACTCCCACATCCCCAAACCTGAGAGAAGCTCCTGTAGACAGGGTTCAAAACAGCACTGGTGAGCAAGGGGAACCTTATCACACCTGACATCTTCCATTTCGTGTCAGCTTGAGGAAAGACAGTCAGGCACATTCAGAAGAATCAACTACACAAAGCTAGACAGAAGAATCAACTACACAGAGCTAGACAGGGATCCAATTGGTCAAGGTCATGACCAGCTAGTAGAATAGTGAGTGTCTCTACAGGAATGTGCTTCATCCTACATAGAAGTGCACACAAAATATGAAAAACACTCATGAATAAAGTAATCAGGGCACGCTATATGTTTCCCTTTTTCTGTTTAACAAAGATTTAATGTTAGGTAATATAAGAGTTCTCTTCTTATGGACTGTGCCAGAATGTAAGAACTTCCTAACACTTGCCCTGGTTGTTTTCCACTAAAAGCACAGAAAACAAACATTTAGAAAGCAGCCTCCTGTTTAAATACGCTTTACAGAATCAAGAAACAGCACATTTAAATTTTAAGAGAACTTAAATAAGGACTTCTGAATAGGCAACCTAAGTTAATTTTATCTCTGTCTTCAGACAGGCAACACTGACATCTACTGCCAAMACTATGAAATAGATTTAACAAGTTAGATGTATTTTTACATAGACTTTTGAAAGCATATTAGACATTTCCTATTCAAAAGTTTCCTTCGTAGCACATATATTGCCATTACTGCAAAACTGAAGTCATTAAGCCACCTTGTGAAGTGTTTTTTAAATACAGATACCTCAAAACCAACCTACTGACAGTAGCAGACCACAATTACACTTTTTCCTAACTAAAACTTTTGAACTATTATAATTAAAGCAAATCTGAAAAAAGGATTTCTTGCTTAACTTAATACTTGCACTTTTATGTTTTTTACYACCACAGATACCTAAGTAGCCACTCAAAAACAAAAAAACACTGTACCTTTCTTAGATCCCATTTGTGTTGAAGTAACTAGGTCCTTACTATCTTCTCATGTATTTAAACAAATTTTATTACTGTTGACAACAGAGGGGCTTTCCATAGAAACTTTCCACAAAGAAGCTCCATGATTTTGACATTCACAAGACATGTCCATCAGCCAGTCCTAGCTCTGAGCACTCAARAATCCACACAGCAGAAGCCAAGTGACTACCACAGAACACACATACATCACAGCCCAGCTCCTCACTACAGGAGTAAGTTAGTACAACCTTGATAGCTCCTTTGCACATTCCAAACCAGAACACTGGGTTGTTTTTTATATTTGAAAAGTCTCCTTATACACACACACACACACACACACACACACACAAAGTTACAATAGCTACACAAAGTATTATCAAAAACCTTACCTAAGCAAAGAGAAGACATCATATGAGTTACGAACACAGTTCTGATCCACCTGGAGAAGGCTGTTCTTCAGGGTACCTGAGTGATCCTTAAGGCAAAGAAGGAATAKTAATTTAAAAAATAAAAAAGTTTCATCTTGACTAAGTGCATGCACTTTTAGTGGAATAAATGATCTTGCATTTAATGTATTTTAAGTCTATCTTCATACATGTTTATCTTTGGTAGATAGAAACAAATTAARGTGGCAATAACACCACTTACCCATAAAGGGATAAAAGACCTATCAGTTTATCTGTGTTCCAGACAAAAAGTTTGTTTTAACTTTATAATCCATAACTGTCTGGATTTGATGCACAGAAATGCTGAAAGGTGCAACTGACAGCACTGCCATTCTTCAGCTTCAGACCTGAGAGCCCACTCAGTCACATGCCAGAGAATTATTTGATCATGAGACAAAGTTCCATCCTTTATCCAAGCAGTAACACATTAGAAGATCAAAGCAATCTTAGTTTTGAGTGACATGAACAAGTTTCTGGAAGTTACAAAGTAAGAATGAYGTRAAGTTGTTCTTTYAGAAGAGCAAAGCATCTTTGCAAAGCAAAATACTTTCTGCACCAAAAAGATCAAAACAGTGACAGACAGCAATTCATGTTGCAAATGTCAGATATTGAGCTTTTCCATATCAGGCACAGTCACACAAGTTCCTAGAAAAGCCACAAGCTCACAAGTGTTCCTTTATATGATAAAGTGAATTTTAAGTAGGTCAAGCCACCTGGCATCACTGCCAGAAAGTTTATGTATTGCAGAAGAAAAGGCATTTATTTTAGTGTATAAACCAGGCCAACCTAGTAYCTGTGATCAAATGGCATTTCAACAGGTAGAGATGGATTCTGAGTACCACAATCCCTCCCTACAGATTCCTTCCTGCCCCAACAGGAGCCTGTCTCCACATAAAAGATACTGAAATTCAGAATTACATATCAACATCTTGTCGAAGACTGAAATTTTATTGTTAACGGTTTAAACATTTTTATGAAGGACTTTTGCCTATTAAGAGCAAAACTGTATTAACAAAAGCTGCRCAGAAGAACACCATACCCTGAATGGGGCCCAGACTGAGGCCCTGGACTGCTTGTGGATGGAGATAAGATAAAGTGACTCAGGTCTGGGCTGGGGGAAAAGAACACATTCACAGGAGGATTAAATTTAACACTTTTGGGGTGGAGACCACAGACCCAAGCTTATCTGCTGCCAGGTTTGCACAGACCCTCACACCAAAAGGGGGGAGGGGAGGTTTTGGTGTGTGGTGAAAAAGCCGCTGCTCAGAGGCAGTTAATGCCCATTCTCCATTGTGCAGAATGGCTCAGCTGTGGGACCCCTTCACCCACAGAAAAGCCACATCCCCATGAAGGACAGCAGAGGGGGTGTCATGGCCCATCAAAGACCCCCCTCAAAGGGGTCCCCAGACCCTGCACCAGAGTACTGCAAACATGATGCAACAAATCCAGGGTTGCAAGGGACAGTGTCAAACTTGTCCTCCCCAGGGGAGGCACATGGGCATTCCCACCTGGCCCAAAGGTAAATTAATCCACTGGATTCTATACTTCTTGGCAGCAGTGCATGGCAGGGGACCCTCAAAGAACACTAGATGGAGGGGAGCAACAAGACATCATTGGGACCCTCTTAAGGATGATATGTTTCTACCTAATCCCTGTCCCTGCCCCCCACACATCTTGTTCTATTTCTTTCTTTTCTCTTTGTTTCTCTTTGCCTCTTTTACTATTAAAAAAAAAATTGGCACCAATATCTAACCTCGCTTGGTTTCAATCAAGTTTTGGGGTGTATTTCAAATCTTTCTGGGTTTGATCTATTCACAGARACTTAGTTTCCTTTGCTCTTCTGTGTTTAGATCGGATTGTTACACATCTCCTGACACAAATGTGTTAACCACAGGCCACACAGCTGACATTCCTTTCCACCAAAATATGGTTCCACCTAAATAATCCAGAGATCTACACACTATGTAGTGTATCACACTGCTATAGAGACACCATCCCAGCAGCTCTCTCAGCTCAGYATTTCCATACTCAAGAGCTAGATGCTAAATGCTGAAATCTACACATCTCTYCATTAAAAATAAAAAAATCAAAATATAAATATCTTAATGTCTGAAAGAACTAGGATAGTAGAAAACTGAAAATGCACAAGGTACTAGCATCATCATRSCCTATTCCTGGAAGTGTTCAAGGCCAGGTTAGACGGGGCTMARAGCAACCTGATCTAGTGGAASGTGCCCCTGCCCACAGCAGGGGGGTGGAGCTGGACAARCTCTAAGGTCCCTTCCAACCCAAACCATTCTAGGAGTTTACACCWTGAAGTTTATGGTGCTTCAAAAAATGCTGCCTGCAGAAAGCAAAGTGCAACATTTTCAGAGAAAAAGCGGATGGRCCTAGAGTAACTGGCTTCAGGAGTGAAAGAATTTGCAGCAGCAACCTATTCTACCCTCTTGTTCCCCTGTACTAYAGTGTTGGAAGGAATTTTCCAAAGAGTCAGGCACCAAGTGGTGTACGCAAACTGTTCTACCCTGAGGAAATCTGCAGAGCATTTAATGCAAGGGTTTCAGAGTTAGCTATTACAAAGTTTGCCCTCTGAAAGGGGTGTGTGGTTTTTCTCTGCCACATTTACTAGATACAGGCACACGTACTTGTAAACACACAAAAATGCTTTGCTTGTGCAAAGTGGCCAGGATCTAGCTGCTAGAAAATAAATTAAAAATTAAAATTAAAGAATATGCATATGTGAGGAAAGTCTRCACTGATGGGGGACCACAGACCCAAAAAGGAGAGATGCAGCTTTCCAAAGATGAGTCTTTCCTTCTTGATGGACGAAAGCTATAATTCAGCAAGCCTGACAAATATAACTYGTTTTTCTGCTCCCCATGCCCCTGATGACAGTCAAATTATTTTGAGCTATGGAAAGTTGCATTGACTAGTTCTGCTTTTACTTCTTTAAGGGGACAACAGAAAGCTAGTCATTGACTAGAAGATATACTTGCTTCCCTCAATGGACTTTCTGAAAAGGTATCACTGCAAGAACAAGGGAGAGTTCTACCAGTCGGGAGCAGCAAGTATAAAATGGTTGAAAGGACATCTGTAAGTTAGGAAGGCACTGAGGAAACCAGAAGAAGAGAAAAACCTGGCTTTAGGAAAGCTAGAATAGCATTCAGAACTGATTATATTGAACCTGGGTAAATACTGGTTTTACACACAAGCAYGAAGCCTCAGACAAAACCAAACTTGTTCAGAAAGCTGCTCAAGGATCAGGAACACTTTAAATCGAGGTTAACAGCTTCAAAATAAAGAGAAMCACACACCTATCTTATTTAAACATTGGTCCAGTTCAAGCAACTCCAAATAAAGATTCAGTGTGTGATTACYAGAGATAGTCAGACAGGGAAGAACTGCTTCAGAGGTCCTGTGTCAGAAAGGAAACAGGAAAATTCTTTGRACATGGTTCTGAAGAAAGCAACAGAACCCTGCTGAAATCTTCCAGCAAAATTACTGCATAATCTACTACAAAATAATAAACTTGTTTAAGTCCAGAAGTTGTAGGTACAATTATGTGAAAATTGCAGCAGCTATATTGGCAGCCCACTTTTGTATTTACACTGGGAAGAAAACCTGTAAGCATTAGAAGAGTTACTGTCAGACATTTATAGTAAAGAAAGAGTACCCTTCACTGCTCAGAAGGCAYCYGCAAAGGTTTTTGAAACMTTGGAAACCCAMCCTTTTTCTTRCCATGAGCTGTRGCAGTAAAAGACCTGCAACTTGAAWAAGAACATGACTCAAAGAAAACTTTTTTTTTTTAATTGCATCTCAGCAACAGTCAAGTTGCTGCTAGACAAAAGAGATAGAAGAAAGGTGAAAGTCCTAATAGCTATATTGTCAAGGATACAGAATTTAAAAGTTTTATGACATCTCTAGGAAAAAAAGTGAAGAAACAGCAACAATAATAATAGAGAGGCTCTGGCTATGGTTCTTTCAGTCAGGCAAGACAATGACTATACTACAATTGTCTGGGTTACTCAAAATTTCTCCACCAGAAAAGCTGAGAGAGTTCCCTACTTTAACACTCTACATGATACTCAACAATTGTACTTGCAACTGAGATACAGAGTGAGGAAGCTGCAGRGTGAGAGGCCCCACCTGCMGTGCTGCCTCCAGCTCTATGATCTTCAGCATCAGAAGRACATGGAGCTGCTGGAGTGAGYTCAGAGRAGGCCACAAAGTGGCTCTGARGGCTGGAGACCCTCTTCTTTGGMGACAGGCTGGGAGAGCTGGCCGTGTTCAGCCTGGAGAAAAGAAGGCTCCAGGGAGAGCCCCTCCAATGCCCAAAGGGACTCCAAGAAAGCTGGAGAGGGACTTYRGACAAGGGCCTGGAATGACAGAATGATCCTAGTGGGATCCTCCCTTTCCAGAATGGGAAATCCTCAGAATGTTGAGTTGGAGTCCCCGTGAGTCTGTGACAAGGGKGAATGACCTCACACTGACAGAGGGSAGGRTTAMATCAGATATTTCAAAGAAATTTTTCCCTCYGAGGATGGTGAGGCCCTGGCACAGGCTGCCCAAAGAAGCTGTGGCTGCCCCATGCCTGGCAAGGCCAGGYTGGACAGGGCTTAAAGCAACCAGGTCTAGAGGAAGATGGCTGGAATGAGATATCATGAAGATCCCCTGCAACCCAAACCATTCTATGATAYGATTCTATAACCAAAACTAAGAAGTACCTTGACCTTTAAACCTTGTGAGCTAGGTAGTAAGTCCTGACAACCATCAGGTAAAGAAGCATGTTCCCATCTTTGAATTCAGGCCCAGGCTGTCAGTACTAAAATCTTGAAAAAACAGAATTGCTAGTTCCTGCTTCAGAAAAACTGAATGCAGAAACTGCAGCTGTCAAGCAGTCATTTCCTCTTCAGCCAGGGACTCATTAACACAACCCAACTATACCACAGCACTGCCACCAGCAATTTGGGATTAAAAAATTGTCAGATGCACTATTTACAAGAGGTAAGTTTAAACCTTTTYATCATCAATGATGTAATAATCAGAGACAATACTGGCTGGACAGGCACAAATGCTACAGTGGATCCTTGAGGAAAGGAACCCATGGGGTAAAACAGGTGCAGCAAAGCAAATAAATAGCTTGCCATTAAAGAGCTACATACACACTCTAGGCTTCAGACTGATAACCAAAACTTTGTGGTTCTATATTTGCCACAAAAACAAATATTAACAACCACATCATTTTCAGTATGTCATATGTTTAAATGAAGTGTCCACTTTAAAGAATACAGTCAAAAGTTATTTTCAGTGACCACAGGGTTTTCAGACCTTAAATGCTACACTCTAAGTCTTTCAAAATATCACAGATACCCATGCAAACAAGGCAAGATATCAGTTCTTATCTGTCATGTCAAAAAACTATTTCTTCTCAAAATGAAGCATTTTAATGTTCTGAACATCCAAATGTGAAAAATCAAACTTACAGGTTCAATTTCAGCTTGCCACCAGTACCAACAAGCCAGAACAAATACAAGACACCCTTACCTTCTGTTCAAATGAAGCTCCATAATAACCATCATTGAGACCAAAAATAATCTCATTTGGGTTTCTTGCATGGATCTGTAAGGGAGGAAGAAAACCAATCAGTTTACAGCAACCTTAGTGCAAATTTTCAGACCAAATGAGCATAAATTGCTCCAAGAGTCTCAAGCCATTATCTGTAATTCCAGAAGAACATAAAACCAGAAAACTGAATTTAACCATGGAAAACGTGTTTGCTTCACAGCTTTAACAACAGTCRTTATGTTCAGCCATTCTACCTTGAAATCAGAAACACTAGCCAGAGCATCATTCCTATTACTGCATTTCCAGGTGACAAAAATAAGTAAGAAAGCTGGAAACTAAACAGAGGTAAGACTCGGGATTTCAGTCTGGAGAACAGAAGAGAGCAGGTCTGGAGACCTTAGAGCACCTGCCAGTGCTGACAGGGGCTCCAAGACAGCTGGAGAGGGACTTTGGACAAGGGCCTGGAGGGACAGGACAAGGGCAAATGGCTTCCCACTACCAGAAGGCAGGGTTAGATGGGATTTTGAGAAGAAATTCCTCCCTGTGAGGGTGGTGAGGTCCTGGCACAGGTTGCCCAGAGAAGCTGTGACTGTCCCATGCCTAGAAGTGGGCCATGTTGGGCAGGGCTTGGAGCAACCTGGTCTAGTGGAAAGTGTCCCTACCCATAGCAGAGCGGTGGAATTGGATGATCTTTAAGGTCTCTTCCAACCCAAACCACTATATTATTCTATGATTTAAAAGCTTTGATGTAAACTAACATGAATATCTGTAATCAAACTTTAAAATACAACCTTCAAACACCTCATTTCCTCTTTTAGCATTTTATGTATGAAGTCATCCAGATGTTTTGTTTCCTTAAAAAAAAAAGTTGAGAAAAAATGTTTTCACATTACCTGCTGGCCCAAGTACTTTAACCCATCTAGATTGACCTTCCATTCAATCAAAAGCTGAAAGTGCTCCTTCTTGCCTCCCCAGATCCTCACAACAAAACAAGACACAGAGGTATCAAGAAGATCAGGCATTATTCCAAAGTCCAGACTCCTCCATGTTGGATTCTAAGTATTCAAAGGAGGATAAATACAATTTAAACAAGCTGAAAGTGGTCAAAAACCTGACAATTCAGAAAGYAGCAAAGCCCACCTCAAAATCTTAAGAATGAGGAACAACACACATTTCAAAGCTCACACAAAGCCAACAAACTCTGCTGCTTCCTTATGCTGTTTCCTAGAGAGATTTCCTCAGTGAAAAGGTACATATTGTAAAGACATACTTCCTTTCATTACCAGACAAAGAATTTATTTCAAATTCAACAATTCATTTTAACCAAATCAGGAACTTTCAAAGTGGAAGTAACATTCCTTTCCAGTTATATCTCAGCTTCTGAAAACCCGGGTATAGCTTGTATTGTCAAGCTGTAAATGCTGATCTATTCCCCAATAATTAAACTTGCAGAACTTGTTGACCTATTTGTTCACATTCTTCTCCTCCCTGACTGATGCTCAATCCTCAAACGCTGTCACTAAAAGCTCATCATACTCCAAGAGATCAGACTTGCACCTGGAGYTTTTCAGAAGCAGCATACATTAAGCAAAACTGCAAATATCTATTCCACCAGAAGTCAGATTTGTAAACACAAGGTGTTTCAAGAATTTCCACTCATCTCTAATAATATCTAAAGAACTGATCCAAGCTGTAACACCAAGTCAATCCAACATTAATAGTGACAAGAAACAACAGGGTGTCCAAAAGCAGAAATGGGAAAGTGCTTTAATACATATTTTTCTCTGTCCCCTGCTGAACACAGAAACAGTAGCTCCTCCAAAACAAAAGGTAGGCCACCACTCCATGAAAGAACTCGCCTTCCCTTCTAGTGCTTAAGCAGTTTGGAAAAGGACAAGCAACCCTGAACTGGGGTRAGCCAATTTAGAGTAGATGCCTCTGCAAAGAAGGGACAGGCAAAGTTACCCAATGCATATTACAGAAGGAACGCATCAATCAAGTTCTCCTGGGATATTTGACAGCTATTCAGATACAAGAATACCAGGTCATTAATTACCTATAGGTGATATACAGGATGTCCTCAAGACATCTTTTGTTTAGATTGTTGTCATTTCATCTCTTATGTCATTTGGTTAGTTTCCCTTTTTGTTTTTCCTTTTCCTGATTTAGAAYAGGCAGAACTAAAAATCCGTAGAAGTTGGAGAAGTTAGCAACCTTGAGACAGCTTTTCCTCCATTCATCAGGGTTTCAAAGCATTTACATTCCAGAATGCTATAAATGGTGCAGTTCTACCTTGTTAATGGAGGCATTAAAAAGTCTTCAGCAGGTTTTTAAACTCCCTTAGCGAACGTTTGAAATATCCTACCATAACCCCTTTCTCAGTTGTAAAAACTGTTAAGTTCTGGCCTCTTCACTGATCTAAACTGAAAAAAATTAGATAATCTAACATATTTGCAAACTTAAATTTCTTACAGCTATTAGCTCTTCAAATAATATACATGTTTATATCTGGCAGGTACATGTTCCTTGTTGTTTTCCTATACAACACAAAGGTATTCACAGAAATCAGCATTTCTACTATTCAGTAGCTCCCTATTCCAACCCTCTTTGAAAGGGTCTGAAAAGGAGGAGAACACAATGCTCCTATCAGAACTGAAGAGTGGAAAGACACATTAAGCAAYTATGGCATGCAGAAGAGAAATCAATATACTGTGCTAAATACAAAACTTTTAAAACTGTTTTTCCACATTAAAGTAACTTACCAGAGAATTCTTGATCACCTCACTCTTATAAAATTCTAAAGAAAAATAAACAAAAAAAAACACCTTTAGATTAGCTTAAACTCTGATAYATACCTTAGTACTTGAAACTGGAAAGTGCTAAAACAAGTAACACTCAAGAAAGACAAATGTTAGTGGATCCAGTTCATTAGTAACAGATTCCTGAGAAAGACTTTGAAATGCAGTCATGCTTTTGACTAAAACTATTCCTTCACACTTAGTTATCACAAGTCAATATTTAAATGCAGCATTTCATCTTTATACCAATGATAATTCTCAAGGTTTAAAAAGGCTTTGATTTCTGAAGAAAGAACATGCCCTAGCACAGTATTTGGATGACATTTGCAAAGGACTGGTTTACCACACCTTCCTGGAACATAGCAGCTTGGATAAATTAATTACAGAGCTTTCCTGAAGAGCAAGGGTGACCTATTTTAGGTGCTCAGAGAGGGAGCAGCAAAGTTACCTGACAGAGGCGCCAACAGCCCTGTGTTTAAATGGGAATAAGCAACTGCTGACACATGGACCTTGGCTTTCCCAGCCAAAGCAAGAACTTAAAGACTTTAGATAGACAGCTCTAGAGGCAGTAGAATATCCGAGCCTACTGGAGACCAAGGATGACACTTTGATGATGTGCAAAACAATCCCTAACACCAAATACTTAATGAACWATCATCAGTGACAGTTCAAACAACCATCACAACAAAGGTCAGGCAGTAAGCTCAAGTTTTGTATTCTTATCCYCCTAAAACACCAACCTGTGAAAAAAAGCACGGCAAGATGCCAGATCTGTCACTGTGCCAGATGAAAATAAAAACTAGGAGAAAACCAAAATTCATCTCCAACTATTAATGATCACACCAAAAGGAGCATACAAACATATTTTTAATACTATCTCTCCACAATGAACAACCATATACTGTAGTGGGAAAGCAAAGCATGAAAGTGATGGGATCTAAYGCACAAACACAGTTACCCAAAGCAGAACAGATGCCTGGATGCTTTGTGTCACTGGCTGACAATAATAGTTTTGGAAAACTTTTATAATAATAATAAGTGCTGGTGTATGCTTTGCAAAACAACTGGTATGCACAAAGTGGGACACTCTTCCCCACAGAAGACAACAAAAGCTCCAAAACCTTTAACTTTTATGTGCCCTTGGAAGTTTCCAGTTTCTTACATCATCACTGGGAGAAGAGCAATGACAAAAATAGGCTGATTTAACAGGCTACCAAACCTGTTGTCTGTTGTGCTTCCTTGGCTGCTAACACTGAAAGCTTTTATGAAGTCTAGGAAACTGAAGAGTTCTTTTTCCAGTGTTAGCAAAGATGATGTAACTAACGGCAGAAAGTTGTCAAGACAATAAAAAAAAAAAAAGAGAAAAAAAAAAAAAAAAAAAAGTTGAAAAAAAAAAAAAAAAAAAAAAAGAGAATTCATATCATAAGAATTCAAAGATTAACTAGCAAAACAAATTGATAGCAAGACTGGTTTACCTTTGTAGATCTTGGCATTATCACACAAGTGAAGAGTGAAGTATGTATCCAAGAGGCAATAACCATTCTTATTGATAATGTTACGTGCTGCAATATTCCGAAGATGACGAAGCCGRCGCTAAAAATAAGGAAAAAACATAAAGAGTGAAAGAACTTACTTAGATTGAAAATGAACCCATTCTTTATCAAAGCATTTAAATGACTCCCAAAGCACTATTGTGAAAAAAAGAACAAACTCACCAAACACTCCATTTTCTCTGTCAGACAGCAAGTGTGAACAGCCAGCACCCAGCAAAGCCACAGGAYAAGCAACAAGCACCTACAAGCTTGGATTAAGTAACACTGATATTCAAGCGAAGCTACTCTTATTCATGTCCTGTATATCATTTTTATCCCACATATCTACATCATTCCAACTCTTGAAGCAGTTTCAAGCAAMTATGTGACACTGTCAGCTTCAAACACAGCAGCAGCATCATCCAGGTGTTCTGCATCATTGCACAGGTAACACTTCCCAGCTAAATCTATTTTCAACAAGCATTAGTGGACAAAGATCTTAAACATAAACCACCACCTAAACCAGAGCTGTAAGGAACTGGCTGAACAAGGCCTCATGATTTCACACTAATCCTGGAAACKGCTCTAATAACCTTAAATAAAAGTAAAATACATCAGAAAGACGTATCAAGATTTTCAGGGAAAATTACAAGCATAGTGAAATTTTGAGATTTTCAAGGTCAGCTACCATCCGCTGTCATGCGAGAGTCCGTTGCCCTTGGATTGAATACAGTAGGATATGTCACTAAAATATTTAGTGTAAGTGATTTCATCCAACTCCGACATTATCTTGGTTTACTACAATACTGCACCTTGAATGAAAATCATCAGATCACATCAATCTTTCTCTCCCTCCTCTCTGTTCCAAACAGCTTTAATAGCTGCGGCTAAAGTCTTAGTTTCAAGACACACCACACACTTAATCTTTAACAAATAGTTTACGTTATTAACTGCTTATAAAATTTAACTAGTTAACAAAGCAATTTTGCAGTCATACTTAAATCATTGCTTAGCTRTGGTTTCTATTCCAACTTCAAAGAGCCATGCTTCAAACAGCCTCCCATGAAGTTAGTACTAAAAACTCCCCTTTCTAATACATGAAGCTCTCACCAAACCCTTCAGTGTCATATTTCCCCAATCAATCTCTTAACTCACCACTGGCTTGCCCATCTACCATAGGGATGTTGACAAATGGCTCCACATACTTTGTGGATCACCACAAACCACCAACAAGCCTCAAAGAACTGGTACAGTGCATACTTTTACCTCAAAGTTCATCTTAGACCATTTGTTCCCAGAAGTTTCTTCATTACTTAAGTCTGAATTCAGCTTGAAAGTGGATTGATCAAAAGCACATTTTAAATGTTTCTGAAACCAAGACAATTTTCCTGTTTGCAGCCTGTCCTAAAAGGCTTTTAACAAGAGTTGAAAGGCCATCACCTGTTTTAGAATCACAGTATGACACTTTATATCACTTAACACCACTTCAGCAATATATTCRTTTTTATTCATGGAAGGATATGAGGAATATTAAATTTCTGTTCATGTGACAGGCTAAAAATCACTGATGGATTCATTCCATTCAAAAGTCTATTTATGACTTAAGACTGAAAACAGAGCCTGAGCTAGGATGCCCAGGTACCTCTGATACATATATTAATTACAAAATTAAAAACAAAAATACCAATCAACAAAAAACTTTCTGTGGGACTACATGGTCTTATTTTCTTAGAAACTGATATCAAAAATGTCAGCAGAAAAATTGGGCCTCACTTGAAAGAAGAAGCCACATAGACCTTGAACATTTTTTCACATCTAACCTCCAARCTGCATAGTTTCGCTGGCTATTTTTACGTGCAATTAAAACACTCCTTAATAAACAGGTTTGAACATGCATTTTGCAGCCTATAAAAATGATTAAAGCATTTTATGTGCCATCTCTCTCTTTTAATTAACTTCAATAGCATAGAAATCAATCAACTACCACACTCATTCCTTTCAYTTTGGCATCTTTCTTTTTCCTTTAATCCCTTACAAACAAAGAACAACTCACATTGCACCCTAATAATGAGGGCAACTTTATCCAGGGTCTTTAGGATTGTAAATTAATTTGTGTGCCTGCTTTAAGTAGTACATTTCATTGATTAGCTCTCAAGCAAAGTCAAACAAGTTTCACACATTCACAGTACACAATGAAGTCAAGAAGGTTTGAGAAAGTAGGTGTTCASTGTCCTAATCAACACCTTCACCTCTGAACAAGATCTGAGTCCTCATTGCCATGGTTYGTGACTTCTTTACACCCTTCAAGTTGGGATTTAGAATAAAGTCTCACTTCTCCCAAACCTRTTGGAAGAGGACCATAAAATCTGGGGTTATGAGACCACAACATACTCAATGTGCAATAGGGAACGAATGTCTATTTGAATCTCCAGCTTAGCTAGCACTCTCCTCCTCCTWCCATGCCATTACTTGTCCATTTAGCCTGGCTGAYAGAGAACAAATTTCCAAATKCATRGACAATTTTATCATTCACATTCTTTAGTGYGAGGTCACGATGACTGAGGGACTTGAATCCTGAAATAAATCTTCCCRTTTGCCCACTATGTACACTGATATYATACTGCCTTAATCGAATTTCCTCAGAACTCTACAGAGGCAACATTCAGAGTTAATTAACCTTTCCTGATGAAAGATAATTAGCTTCAACCAGGAGACTACCAGCTACAAAGACATACCCAAAAGACAACTGAAATAGGCTCTAGAATTCCTCATCAAGAGCTTTGTTTGAGACAAAGTAAATATTATTTTGAGGGAAGCTTTAAATCTGTGTTACCTCCTATGCGTTTCATATTATTTYTTGCTGGAGACATTGGAAATAAAATCCCCACTGTGTTGCAGTTCTGCTAGCACTGGCATCAGCTACACACTGCCAGCCCCCAGCACTGCATCAGCCTTCCTTTTACTYGTTCCACCATAAATATGCACTTGTGCAGCTGCTCACAGAATTATATCTGGGAACCAATCTGGACAGAAACTAACAAACTCTCCCTTTTCTCGGGTTAGCTTCACCAGCTCAGTTCCTCAATATGGTTTACCATGCAGCTGGACAAGCAGTTGTGCAGTTCAAGGAGGGGACAGCACAGCAGCAAGAGGCCAAGGGCAGAGAACTGCTGAAATGAAACCACCAGCTTAAAGTCTATGTGGAGCAACAAAGTCTGGCACCAAGGGAAAGGTGATTCACAATGAAATACCAGAGTATTTCAAATGCAAAAGCAACTCCTTTCAGAAAATAAACCAGTACACTCTATGTYGAATACAGAAGCTGCAAATACTCTGGAGTTCTTTAACTTCGTCCTCCTTAGGTGAAGCAATAAAAAGTAGTCCCTTTTCTTTAGTGACAAATTTCAGCTATTTTGCTCTTTCAATAAAAGTGTCAAGAAATCTTCATCATGAGGGAGGATTACCTCATGATAAGATGCCCTGCTGCCAGAACAGTCATTCCAAAAAAGCCCAGCTTAAAAATCAAAATACATGTGCTAAAAAACACTCCAAGTGCCTTGGTAGCCTCATGAGCCACTTAGCATAAAAAAGGCCAGAGTGCAAGATGGTAATGCAGGAGCTGCTGTCATTAACAAAGAAGAGCAAAATATGCAATTAATATAGCTAATTTTCACTGCTATCTCTTCAAAGGGCTTACAGGCTACCAGCAACACAGGACTGAAGATCTGAGACAGGCATCTAMAGTAAGTACCTTAATGAGCTATCCTACACTAAAGAAATTATTTTGCAGAACTAATACCATGGAAAGGTTATTTAACCTTTCTAACAGCTCTCAATTCAGCACATGCAGCCTGAACAGTGGAATATCTGGATCAGCACGTAGTAGAGCAGGTCTAACAGCGCATTCTAGGGAGTTTGTGACAGAAGTTATTTTGATTACAATTGTCCTAGTCCTTTGCAATTCCCAAGAAGGCCAACGGAGCAGTGAAATTATGCAGCAGGCCTTGTTATAATTTGCTTTAATTGCCAGTCTAAGTTGCATTTGATTAAAAGCAACTGCTATACAGCAACTATGAGTTGACTCACATGAAAGAAATTAGTGCTTCCTTCTATCTTGAAGATAAGAGACTACAAACCAGCAGAAGAGATCCACTAACTTTTCATTAGGAGAAATCCTGAGTAGCTTGCATTTTAAAACCACTGCTGCAAGTAAAGATACCACAAGTTATAAGCAGACAGCTATTCCAAAGATACACAGAAATTTGGGTAACAAAAACTGTAGCAGAGATCTGAAGAGCAGAACATACCATCAGGTTTCATCCCTCATGACTGCAGAGACAGAAAAGCAGCTTCCTGAATTCTCCAACAGCATCTTAACAGAGCTGCTGTGGAGTACAGCAAAACCATCCCTGTTCAGCAACTACCAGCTTCTTTCAAAACTCAGAAAAAGATAAGCACTCAGTTTTTATCAATCTGAGAAACTAGCTGCAGTTGTGCAATATATCCGTGTTCCCATTCAATAACTTCCTGGGAACCCCTCCAGATTCACCRCAGGCCATAAACAAATCAGACTGCTCCAGAATACAGTACTTTCATCATCAACCTTCTTTAGACTGTTTTTTCATCAGATGATTCCAGAACTCTACAGYCTACCAAATCTTTTGAGGTCTAAAGGACTGAAACTTCCGGTCCCTTCTTTCTTTAGGTTCCTCAATAAAAAGATGTCTTTCACTTCCTCTGCCTAGAACAGCATCTTCAGCATACTGATGCTTGTTCCCATCCTGCACAAGGATTCAGATGTGTTTCATGCAGTTTCATGGTGAGGGACAGAAAACTGAACCGAGGTAAAGCTACCAAACCCAAAAGTTAGTTCAACAGCTGCGTAAGTTCCTCTAAATCAGCTCCCTACACCTACACAGATGTGCCCACCACAAAAGAGGACATAGCAGGCAGATTTCAACACTTTSATTTCTTCATGGCTTAAGCTAATCCACACACCACTCTGCTTTCTTCCAGGCCTGAGAAACAGAATTGATTAAGCTATTCACTGGTTTTTGTCTA